GGGAAGGGCGGGGCTGTGGCGGCCCCAGCCTGGACCCCTTTCTCCCTTCCCGCCTGCCCCAGCCCAGGGTGCTTTCTCCCTCCTTGCCCCACCCCAGCTCCTTTTCCTTCCCTGATCCAGGGCCCTTTCTCTCATCCCTCCCAAACCTCCTGCCAGCCATGACCTAATCCTAACCCCCTCCTCCCTGGCAGCGGTTCACCAGGCCTGGCTCTTCCCATGACCACTGGGAGGGGGGCTGCTCTGAAGCTTTGTAGGCCCTGCGGTCTTCCCCCACCTGCGGGGGGGAGGAGCCTCTGCACCACGCGCTCTCCCCCCACCTGCGGGGGGGAGGAGCCTCTGCACCACAGCTGAGCACTGGGGAGGGAGGAAAGAGGCAGTTGAGACATGATGATGTCATTCCGTTGTCCCACAGGAAACGTTTTTTTGGGTTTTTTTATAGAGAGAGGGAGAGACTAGCAGGTGAGGCCCGTTGTTGACCAGGCAAAGTTATTTGTGTAGATTATGCTTATAGGAACATTCAAGAAATTAAATATATGTAATAGAATTTTTTATTAATGTGCTTGCAAAAGGGAAGTAAAAGAACAGTTTAAGTTTTGTAGGATTTCAATTTCAAATATTATTCATTTTATTGAATAATTACCATCCATAGTAAATTTGAAACCAACTCCTAAAGCTTCCATTACTCTTTCCGAAACTAATTTGAATTATTTTGTGATTTGTAACAGTAAAAATTTTCTTTGCACTAAAATGACAGTTGAATAGGTGACTCAATTTCAATTAGCAAATTTTTTTGAACTCTAATCATAATAGTCATGACTTTTTTCTGATGAAAAACAAAAATAATTATTTAAACCTTTTACCCAGCATATTCCTGTGTAAAACGTAGTGCATTCAGCTAATTTAAATGGCAGGATTGTTTTATGCAAAATTTGGTATCTGCAGGTAATCGCAAAATATGATTTTTTATTTTGCGCAAACAAACTGTTCAAAATAAATAGTAGATTTCAAAGATTCTAGACCTGGGGAAGATGGGGTTGTTACAGTTTTGTTGTGACACCATAGAGTAGTATTACTACCTGCTTCCTTTATCATGAAGGTTAGTGCATTGTTGTGATACAGTAGTAGTCTATTTACTGTAGTGATTACACTACCTCTTAAAAACTCTAAGTTATTGCTATATATTTGGAATCTATCTGTATTTAACTTTTCTTTTAACTTGGCACTTTTCTTATTTTGTCAGTTTATTTCCGGTGTCTTGGCAGCACTCAGTGCAATGATATCATTAGAGATTCCACAGATCAACATCATGACCAAAATGGATTTGCTGAGCAAGAAAGCTAAAAAGGAAATTGAAAAGTAAGTTTTGAAAAATATGTGGAGTGGTTTTTTTGTTTGTTTGTTTTTAAATAACTTGAGGCAAGTTTCAGGATCAATTGAATTAATGTTATTACGTGAAAATCGATTCTCTGGGACAGTTGGTGGAGAGGGCAAGCCAGATGGAATTGTTAAATTGCCAAATTTATCATGCAGTGTTTGGTAATTTGCAGCTAACTTTACAGATGATCTTCTGCATGTATGTGTTTATGCATATTGGTAGAGAATTGTCTTGGAGAACTATAAGATCCTTCTGAATCCATTTGCAGAGGCTTTCACCTGTGTAGTTCAAATCCAACTTTAGAGATCCTCCTGCTTCATTATTTTGTAACTGTCAATAGAAATGAAAATATAGTCCCTTTTCCTTTTATGTAAATACCAAGATCTACATTTTTCCAATAGTCCTCGCTAAATATTTAGAGAATTTGGTGCTAGAAATCATAATCTTATAACCATGTAAGAAAATCTTATACATGTAAGAAAATTATATTTTAAAAATAGCACTTGCAAACTTGCTACCTTCTAAAATTAATGAAAAGTACAAAACCACAGGCAATAGTGGCAATATTTGAAAAACCATACATAATTCAAAGCCCTGCTGAGTTTTTGGGTTTTTTCTTTCTAATTTTAATACATACTTTTTTCAGGTATTTAGATCCCGATATGTATTCTGTGACTGAAGATTCTGCAAATATACTAAAAAGCAAAATGTTCAAGAAACTGACTAAAGCTATATGCGGATTGGTAAGTAGCAGTGGTGCTGTTTAACCCTAACAGGTTCAAGTACACTTTTGAAATTCAATCCTTTATGATTTACAAATATAACAATATCAGGGTTAATTTTTCTGCACACACTATGCTATAAAAATATCTTTCTCAAAATGATGTTTTGATACAACTGATTTACTAGTATTGCTGGGAACTAAAGCAGTGGTTCCCATTCTTTTTTTCCATCAAGGATTCGTGTAGTAGTATCTAACACTTAGGGTACGTCTAGATTACAGGCTTTTATTGACAAAAGTTTTGTCGACAGATATTGTCGACAAAGCATCTGTCGACAAAGAGCGTCTAGATTACAGCCAGTTCTGTCGACAAAGCAAGCCACTTTGTCGACATGACAGTGTAGACGTAAAGAATAGTGTAGTTGCAATAACGCCTTCTGTCGACAGAACTCTGTCAACAGAAGATGTTATTCCTCGTAGAATGAGGTTTACAGCCATCTACAAAACTGCTGAGTTCTGTCTACGTTATGTCGATAGAACTCAGCGGCAGTATAGACACAGGTATAGTTTTGTCGACCAAAAGTCCACTTTTGTTGACAAAACCCTGTAGTCTAGACACACCCTAAGGGTGCATCTACACAGAATCCTAAACTCGAAGTAAGATACGCAATTTGCGGTATGCAAATTGCGTATCTTATTTCGAATCTATTTTGAAATGTTTGGCACATCTACACCCGTGCCAAATTTCTAAATAATGCCATCCCTTATCTCTCATGCAACAAGGTTTACTAGGATGGCAAAATAGCATGCCCATTATTTTGAAAAATATTTCAAAATATCGGGAGGCTTGTGTAGATGCAGTGTAGCTGTTTCGGGATACCTCCGGTATCCTGAAATAGCTGTGTAGTATAGACATATCCTAAATGTCCTCAGTCCCTTCCATTTCTAGTGCTCCCAGAGCACCCCTTGCCAGCGTGACCTCTCTCATACAGTGCATGGGAGGTTACACTGTATGGATGATGCTATTTTTTAGAACAAAATGGTGTACTACATGCATCAAAAGTGCCAGAAAGCTGTTTTGGTGCATTTCAGACCTAGCTCTAGGACCTAATGATCCACGTAATGCATGATGAACCCCCATAGGTCTGGAGGAATCAACTTTGGGAACAACTGTCCTAGAGAATTCTCAGACATATGAGTGAAAATGCTGACAGATTGGATTTTTTTAGCCTAGTCTCTCTCAGACTAATTTTGATCCAACATCCAGTGGCTACATCTTATGTTGGGCATGTTGTCATGATAATGTCAGAGTGATCCTGATGTGTAAGCAGTATGGTATAGTGAACTGCACAGAGGAAAGGCTACTAGGAGCTCCAGAATTCTAATCGTGACTCGGTCACTGGTTTGCTGTGTGGCCTTTTATCTTACTTTCACCATCAGTAAAGCAACTAATCTATTAGTGTCCCTGTCTTGAAGGCATTTCTGTGGATTAGTGTATAAAATGCCACAGTACTCCTTGTTTTTGCAGATACAGACTAACACAGCTACTCCTTTGATACTTGTGTGGATTGGTGTTTGGTGTTTGAAGTGTTCTTTATTATTGATTAATCATATAATCTAAGAGCTATGCTTTTGAAAACCTTCCTCCAGATTGATGACTACAGCATGGTTCGATTTTTACCTTATGATCACTCCGATGAGGAAAGCTTAAATATTGTGCTGCAGCACATAGACTTTGCCATTCAGTATGGGGAAGATCTAGAATTTAAAGAACCAAAGGTAAAGAACTTTTATTTTTTAAGAGGTAACATTAAAAAAAATCCAGCCCCATCAATTAAATGTAATTCATTGAGTTTCAGAGAGTGTTAGTGCTATTTTGAAACGTGGGCATTAGGGATATTAAAATACATGGAATTTGATAACTGTGTAACCACTGATGGGGTGGCAGCTAGCTCCCCAGGAGCTTGTGTATGCCGGGAGCCAGCATTTAAGCTGGCTGCTGCCCCATGCTGTTGCCTCTGATACAAAGGCAGCAGTGCAGTGTGGTAAGCAGCTCCCGGGAGTTGAACCAGGAGCCGTGTGTAGCTGGGTATCTGTTTGGGTAACCAATAAGCTTGTGCTTATCAATTAGCCATTTAAATGGCTACACTCTTACATCTCTTGGGGCACTGATGCTGCCAAGAAGGATTTGTGCAGGAGAAGAGGAGCCTGCTACTATTGAGCAGGGCAGAGTTAAGTGTATGTATTGACTATAATGAACATGGATAGGTATGGAAAATCTCTTGTGGCATGGTTCTGTGGTTTGCATTGCTTCTCATACAAGGTTTTAAAATTAATAATTCCTATATTTTATAGCCAGAAGTGACCCTAGGAAATCTTCTAGTTTGACTTCTTGCATGAAGTTGGCAAAGCATCCACCCAACAATTTCTGCATCAAGCCTTTTGTTTGAACAGTAAAATAATACCTAAAATATAGATGCAAATGAGACAGATGGCTTAAACTCAGTTTTATTATTATTCAGATATAATATATTCATGAATCCTGAAGAAATAAATATCCATCTTCTTATTCCATTTTGAAATTCAGTTGTTCAGCACCCTTTAAATATACAAAATACGTGGATTCAGTTTTGGAACTATTACATTAAGGATTAGGGTGTGTCTAAAAAAGCTATAGCAGTGTTTCTCAAACCATGGCTCACTACCAAGCCGTGGGAAAATAATACTGGGCCTCAGCGTGGCTGCTGGGTGGGCGCCGGGTCCCCCAAGCCCTGGACTGGGCTGGGCAGAGGATGCAACCGGATGTTCCGGGCTCCCAGCACAGAGGCATAGCGAGGGGGAAGGGGGGGGGGGGGCAGTTGCCCCCGGGCACCACACTAGGGGGGTGCTGGGCTGGGGTGGGAGCAGAGCACACAGCATCATGAGTTGTGGCAAACCTGGTCTGTATGGAAATGCTCCCTGTGGGATTGTGCTACTTCTGGTAGCAGTTTCCTATAGGAGCACTACCTTACAATTGTACAGATGATAAAATGCTACCAGTAGCACATTCCTATAAGGTAGCAACTTTCTACATTACATGAGCGTTGTTGGGCCATGTACTCCCTGTGCAATCAAGCCTCCGAGGCAGGGCCAAGCAGCGACTTTAAAGGTAGAGTTTAAAGGTTCAGGGCCCTGCCCCATCGTGGCAAGGGTGGGGGTGCAAATTTTGCTTTTGCATAACACCCTTGCTACTCATCTGATGTGAGGGGGGTGCCAGGCTGGGCTGTGGGCGGGGCAGGGAGGAGATATGTGGCGTGCCGGGAACCCGGGCTAGACTCAAGGGCAGGGAGGGAGGGGCAGGAAATGAGAGCTGGGCTCAGCAGTTCTGCGGGGTTTGGGGGGAGGTGCAGGAAATGGGGCTCAGCTGTGCTGTGGGGAGGTATGCAGGGAACCAGTGCGGGGCTCAACTGGGTAGAGGTGGATGGGGGAAGGCATAGGAAACAGAAGGGCAGCTCAGCTGGGCTGTGAGGGGCTGCAGGGAACTGGTGCTGAACTCCCTTGGATTGTGGGGGATGGTTTTGGGGGAGCTGCAGGGAACCAGTGGAGGTGGGCAGCTCCCTTCAGCCACACAGTAAATGAGGCCACAAGGCAATGAAGAATTCAGCTCACCTGATTCTCTCTTAATTCAGTGGGAGCAGGAGTGGGTCTAATGTAAAAAGTACCCACCCTAATGCCCACTGAAGTCAAGCAAAAACATTCTTCCCACTAACATCAGTGAATATTGGATCAAGCTCTTGTCTCAGATTTACACCAGATAAGAATTTGGCCCACTGTCATTATCGAAAAGCAGATGCTCCAAACATAGAACCTGTCTTTAAGAAGGAGAACCAAGAGCACCAGGGGAATCACAGGCCAGTCGTCAGCCTCAGTTAGATACCTAAAAAGTTCCTGGAACAAATTATTAAGTAGTCAATTTGTGAGCACTATAGGAACCAGATTGCTTCTTGATATTGCTTGTCACCTGTTTTATGGAATGTTGTTATTTCTATTGCAATAAAAATGCCATAGAATAGATGACTTGATGTAACCATAGAGGTAAATTGAACTAATATTTACTTTTCTTTTGGGGTTTTTTTGTGGCAGGAAAATGAAAAAGATAAATCTGCTACTTTAGATGAATATTTTCAAGACCAAGTGGATGAGTAAAGAGTGAATATACCAAAGCGTGGTTGTAAAATATGCTTTGTTAAGGGATCCTCTAAATATTTGTGTGTATTTTTTTAAAATATCAAAACTGTAAGATAATTTGAATAAATCACTAGAGAAAGTGAGTCATGCATTTCCATATTATTACTTTCAGAAATAATTGTCATTCTTGTATATAAAATACTTAGCCTCAGTCACAGTAAGCTATATTCCATGAAGATAATTGCATTTCTCTTTTAAATGCTAGATTGTTTGAAAAATATGGTGGTTGTAGAGGGGGACTGTCAAAATAAAAATATTTTTTTCTTCCTTGTTCTAATAACTTATTAGTAGGAGAAAATGTTTAAAAATCTAGATAACTTATAATTTTCTCCTAGAGTTCATATTTTGTATTTTACTCAGATAACGAAAAGTGGCATAATCATTTTTACTTTGTGATTAATTGTGTGCTTATTTAGTGGTGGTAGCTTTTCCTTCCCACCACTGCAGACATTTAAATGCCTCCAATAATGTGTTTTGGGTTTTTTTTGTAACCCTCCTGTAAATGTTGAGATTAATATATCAATCGCCAACTTCATACCTGTTTTAAATTGATGTAGCTCTCTTGGTATCAATGAAGTTAAACCTTGTTACACCAGGTATGAATTTGGTCCAATAGAATTTTGTTAATCTGATCATCAAATATTTAATTTAATTTAATTTTAAACAACATACATTATAGACCTATGCAATCTGGCAGTGTCTGTGTATCCTTCAAGAGATGTTTTGAAATCCTTAGCTAATGGCAAGTTGTCTGAAAGGGAAATCTGACTTTTAAGTGATGACTTAATACTTTGGATTTTCACAACTATTTCTGAGAGATGTGAAAAGCTGTTCTTTGAAGGTAATTGCTGCTATTGTTGTAATACTCTGTACAATAGTTGAATATGAGAGAATACTTTTTCAGATGTTTATATTGCATTATTTGACCATCACAATGTTTAATAAATTGTGTGTGAGAGAGCCAGCAATTCCCTTGTTTATCCTTTCAACCTTCTTAGGATTTCAAAGTTGGAAAATCTGGTTTGCTTCAGGAATTCTGTCCTCATTTTAGCATCCTCTTCGGACTAGAACTCTTCATGGTATGTTTTAAAGGGGCACTCTTAGATGTGATCAACAGTGTCCTGATATGAAGGTCACATGACTGCTCCAGAGTTATATACACCCTACACAGAATGGTAAGGATATCTAGGTGATAAAGTGCACCCTTCCCTTAACTGTACTCTGTCCACTAATCTATTTCACCAGGAACTATTTCTAGGATTCCAAAGAGCTGTCACTTCAAAATTAATAAAACAGAGTGTGAGGTTTAACTTTTCCTCCAACATTACACTGCTTTGCAAGAAGTACAACCCTTAATAGCAGAGAAGTCAGAACTTGGAAATACTGGATTTTTAACCTATTACTGTTGGAACTAGGAAACTTTACAGTGGTAAATGTCATTTCTACCTGTGTGAGATTCATGATGAAATACTGGACCATGAAAATACAACATGATTTGAGGGTAATTTATTTTCCTTTTCTGTTACACACTGGACAACATGTGGCATATAAAGAATGACCAGAGATATGGTGTGGCATAAAGGTTTGACAGTTGTTTGAAATGACTTGTGAAACTCATTTGTGACTCTACAGTTTGTAAATATTGCAGCTAAACTCGTGTTGATATATATTTCATGTCACTTCACTGTGTGGTTTAAATAAACATGCATTTCATCACTCAGAACAGAAGTGGTAAAATGCCTTGCTCAAATATTTGACCCATTTGAATATAAATAAGGCAATAAATAAAATAAGACAAGCTAAAATACAATACAAGCTAAAATAAGACAAGCTAGTGAAAATTGACTGTGACATTTGTAAAAGGCATTTGATAAAGACTGAATGTAATACTAACACTGGGTGTTGCACTATTGATAGTTTCACCCAAGGTTTTCATGTTTCCAAGAGAGCATTTTAAACACTCAGTTGAGGGAGGAAAAGTTGAAAAAGTTTTGGTTTTCTTTAAAGTGCATGTGCTCT